CCCTCTTTCGTGCCCCAGGAGGGTCACAGGAAGCCTGTCACCTGGACCTGGCCCTGTAGCAGGGGCAGCAGGGACAACTCTGGGTGCAGCAGCACGGCTGTCCCTCTGCACATGGTGGGAGCCCCTGCTGCTCTTTGAGGCCATCTTACCCACACACTCAAGCTTGCTGGAGTCATAGTAGTAGCCTGTACGGCAGAAGCACTTGTAGCCCGGCACCGTGTTCAAACACTGTCCGTTGCGGCAGAATTCGGAGCCAAATATCTCACACTCGTCCATGTCTGCGAGAGGGATGAAGGCAGGGAGGGAGGGAGAGAGTCTCAGGGAGCAGAACCGTGGAGCAGAAAGCTGGCATGGCACCTTGACTGGCCGGTGCCTGAGTGAGCCCCCCACCTCTCCCACAAGCCACATGCCTGGGAGCAGAGGGGGAAACACCCACAGGCAGAGCAGGAGGAGGGATGACAGAGAACAGGATTGTTTCACAAACAGGAAATTAATGTGTGTTTCTGAAAGGTTGAGACCATGAGTCCCCTGAAGGTGAAGCACCAAAGACTGAGCTGGCCGGCCACTGGGACATCTATCAGTAACTGTGTCTTACTGGACCCCATTCCTGTTTGAAATGGGCATGGGACGTTTGCACCAAGAGAAGAGTCACTGCCAACAGTGAGGCAGGACTGGAGGAAAGGGCACTTCCAGCTCAGCGATACTGGCAATCTGGGATTTCTCTGGATGGAGGAAAGCAGCAGCAGGATGTTAGCATACCCCACCACAGCCCCAGGGAGATATTTCTGTGGATGCATCTCTCTGCAGGGCTTTGCACAGCGCCCTCTCTCTTCACCCTGGGAGAAATGAGAGAAAATGGTGCTAGTACCTGTGAAAGAGACTTTTCCTGAGAGCAGATCTTCCTGGGGAACATAGCCCTTCCCGAGAGGGCAGATCTCTTGGTACTCCACTGGCCAGGAGGCAGATGCCAAGGGAAGATGGGAAGAAAAGAAACAGCTCGTTAGTGCAACCAACGTGGAGCTGGTGGGCAGAGCACTGTCCTTGCCTGGTGTGGTGGGTCCACAGTCCTACCTGTGCCCAGGATGGGGCAGGGGTAAGTTTCACAGTTGTCACCCCAGGCTGCCCCCACAGTACAGCAGCACTCCTCCTTGGTGATGTTCTTGGCCAGGACGCTGTCACACAGGCGAACGTCACTGATGTGGTAGTAGCACTGCTTGCGCTCTGCGCTGTCAGAGAGGTGGGCTGCGTGTGTCTCAGGGCCCTCTAGAAGACAGCAGAGCAGGGACGGGATGGGGTCCTTGGCACCCCAACGCAGCATCCCACACCTAGGAGGTCCCAGAGCACACCCATCACTGGCAGCATGGCCTTCCCAGGTCCCCAATTTCAGGCTCTGCAGCTCTCCCCAGATGAAAGCTTGCCCATGCCTGCGTGGGCTTGTACAGTCCTGGCAATGTCTCAGCTTTATCTCACCCTAGCCAGGGCTACCACGCTCCTGCTCTAGCTGCCACTCATGCTTCTGTCCTAGCTACCTACTCACCCATGGCTGCTCGGGGCTGGCATTGCCCTGTCTCTGTGTCATACTCCTCGTGGTCGCTGGGGCAGAGACAGAGGAAGGATCCCTCCACGTTCTCGCAGAGTGCAGTCCCGCACACGGCAACCATCAGCTCGCACTCATTCACATCTGCAAAGCAAGAGGCAGCGGTGGCAGCTGTAGCCCTGCCTCTGCATGGGCAGCCTGTGCACGGTCTGCAGCATGGGGTCACCCTTCAGCAGGGAGATGGAAGCTGCTAGGGATGAGCTGAGCGCTCTGTTCACACTGTGGCTCAACACAAGTCTGGCAAGAACTTCCTGCCCTTCCTGCTCTTAGTGGATTCAAGGAGCCTGAACTCCAGCTTGCAGTGAGTCACTGGATCACAGGATCATCCAAGTTTGAAGGGACCACTGGAGATCTCTAGGCCAACTCCCTGCTCAAAGCAGGGTCAGTTACGGGATCCCACCAGGCTGCTCAGGGCTTTGTCTTGTTGGGTCTTTTAAACCTCCAAGGGTGGCGACTGCACAGCCATCTTGGGCATCTGTTCCACTGCACCGCCGTTCCATTGTCTTCATGGTGAAAACATTTTGCCTTATATTACACCCTGCCTGTTCTTTCCAGGTACCCATTAAACGACCTCTCTAGTACCTTCAGTGCCTCCAGCCCCAAAGCACCTCCTTTCCATCTGCACAGAGAAGGGGTTCATGTTCACTGGGAGCCACTCACTTTTTCATAGATCCCAGTTCCTTTGCAGTGCCAAGGATCTGCTGTGCTAAAAGGAGGGGTTTTCCCTCCATGAGCTGCCCTGTCCACATCTGGGATTCTCCATGCGTGCATGCAGTCCCCGTCCATGCCCCAGGAGCCACCACACAGCAGGGACACCAGCCTGGCATTGCCAATGGCTCTCCCTCACTGGCTGGCAGAGTGATCGCGGGAGACTCACCAACGCAGTAGTGCCCGGAGGGTGAGCTCTCATAGCCACGGTCGCAGAGGCAGCGGAAGGAGCCATCTGAGTTCTCACAGAAGCCGTGGCTCCCGCACAGCGTCTCGTTGGCGCACTCATCTATGTCTGCAGCAGAGCGGAGAGTGGGAATTGCCCCAGACCCCACCTCTCCCATTCACCTCCCCCTGCCCAGGCCCTTCTGCTCTGACCCCAAGACCTGGGGATGGAGCAGGCATTCCCTTGATGTGAGGGACTGGGTCTGGCTGAGTCCCTCACTCCCCTGCTATGAATGTGCCTGTTAATAGAAGCTTCCTGCAACATCCAGAGCTGCAGAAAGGCCACGTGGATAGAGCAACAGGAACAGGGTGGGAATGGGAAATGGATGGCAAGTGTGGGAGGTGGCTGGCAGGGGCAACTGAGGGTAGCACAGGTCCCTGCAGAGGCACAAAGGGACACAGAGCCTACAGGCTCACATCGGCAGGAGATACAAGGGTGCAACTGCAGTGCGTGGGGCAAGCGCAGACAGATCTAGGGTAATACTCTCCTGCCCCATTCTGCTCGACCTCGTCCTTCTCCAACTGCTACAGTGCCAGGGAGTAATTTCTGCCTTGCCCAAGCCTTGGTGGGGCTGGACAGTCACAACTGGATCCTCTGCCTATGGAGGGCAGGTTTACAGCTCTGCTGGCTGCATCCTACTCCCCTCCTACCACTGCACAGGGCAGATTTATTTCCCCGGAGCAGGCAGAGCAGCTGCGTGCCCACAGCTCACAGCTCCCAAGGCCAGGAGCAGCTCCACGTGCTAAGTCTGAGTCCTGGCACAGCCCAGAGCCCAGCGGCTGGCAGCAGCTCCTCCTTGCTGCAGCGTTCTCTAAGCCGGGGAGAGCCTCAAAAACTGCAGAAACCCCTTTGCTGTTTCCTCTTTGCTGGAGCCTAAACTCCAAACCCAGACTCCCCAGCCTAGCACACAGTGGTACCAGCAGCCTTTCCCCTCATCCAGCCCTGCCAGGCAGGTGACTGGCACAGGCAGCAGCCCCAGCAAGCACAGCTTACAGGGAGCTGCGGTCCAGCCCCAAGCCTGGAATGGCTGTAACCTGCCCAGGACTCTCCCCAAGCGGAAAGCAGCACAATGCAGTGTCTGTTCCAGATGCCAGGAAGAGAGAAGTCTAGACACAAGCAGGCAGCTCAGCCAAGAAAACAAACTTTCAGCATTATCTGCCTCTCCACCAGCCACATGCTTCCTCCTCCTCCTCCTTCTCCCCCGCGCCCCTGGCAGAGACGTCCCACAGCCACCCTGTCCCTGCCAGGAGGAGGGACAGGGACACCCGGGGCTGTACTCACCAATGCAGTCACCCAAGGGGGTCCAGTGGAAGCCGGGCTGGCAGCCCATGATACAACGGTAGGAGCCCAGGCTATTCTGGCACCGCCACGTGCCACAGATGGCATCCCCGTACTCTTTACACTCATCCACGTCTGCAGGGAGGAGGGCAAAGAAATGAGGATGGTCAGATGGGGACCCTGCTTGCTTATTGCAGCAGCCCGGTCAAGTTCAGTTGGCCAGAGGCCTTAAGCCATTGCTAGTCCTCCTTACAAGTCACCAGCAACTTTAGGTGCTGGGAGGAGAACTGCCCTCCCCCCTGCACTGGCTGCATCCATCGCCCCCAAATTCCAGGGGGCTGATCTCCCCAGCGATGAGCTCTCACCCACGCAGTCATCAGTCTCCTGGGAGTGTTTGAACCCATTTTCACACAGACACCTGTAGGAGCCTTCTGTGTTCAGGCACTGGCCTTGCGAGCACCGGGACTTGTCTGCGCATTCATCCACATCTGCAAAATCAGGCCAAAATCGTCAATCTGGATCTCACAGCAGGGCAGGCAGCAGAGGGCAGGTCCTGAGGTATGTCCCTGACATCCTCCAGCTCACCTTGGCAGCTGACTCTACCAGCCACGTTCGAGAAGCCAGGAGCACAAATGCAGAAGTAAGATCCATGACTGTTGAGACACTCGCCATTGGGGCTGCAGATCTCGCTGTTCAGGCACTCGTTCACATCTGCAGAGGCAGCAGAGTAAGGGCCACACACCCAGCTCCGGGTGGCATCCTTCACCTAAGCCACATGGATTCCCTCTCTCCATTCTCTCACAGGCAGCCCTTGCAGGGCTCCTGGCCCTGGGTTTCTTGCCATGGAGACAGAGATCTTCCCTGTCCATGGTGATCCTGAAGTTCGCTATAACCTTATGGATGTGCCATGCATGGTGGCATCACCTACCTTGGCACTGGCATCCTCCCTGCCAAGAAAGATGGGGGATCTATAGGGAGGCTTCTATGCCCTGGACTCAGAGGGCTGCAGGGATGGGGTTCGTACCTTCACACGCAGTGCCGTTGATGAGCTCGAAGCCAGCCTGGCAGTGGCACTCGTAGGAGCCCAGGGTGTTCCTGCAGTCTCCCCCCAGGCACTGAACAGCAGGGTTCTCACACTCATCCATATCTGCCAAGCAGAAGGGCAGAGCAGTGAGGCCTGAGCTCTGGCTGTCACTGGAGAAGATCCCCACCCAGAGAAGCCATCACCCAGCTTTTGGCCTGCAAGGTGGGTTTGAGCTGCCCTCCCAGACCATCCAGTCACAGTGAGACGAGGGCAGAGAATCCCTCCATCATAGGGACCAGGATAAACTGGATCCCAGCACCAAGTCAATGGTGCCCAGTGACAGGACCAGAGGCAACGGGCTCAAACTGAAACACAGGAGGTCCCATCTGAAGATCAGGAAACACTTTTTTACTACAAAGGTTACTGAGAACTAGCACAGATTGCCCAAAGAGGCTGTGGAGTCTCCCTCCTTGGAGATATTCAAAAGTTATCTGGACATGGTCCTGGGTAAGCAGCTCCAGGTGGCCCTGCTTGAGCAGGAGTGTTGGGCAAGATGATCTCCAGAGGTCCCTTCCAACCTCACCCATTCTGTGATTCTGTGAGCACAGGAATACTGCTAGCCCCAGTGTCCACCTCCAGCAGAGCTCTGCACTGGGTACCACAACCAGCGCAAAGCCACAGTTGCCGACAAACTGCACAAGAGCAAACATCAGGAGAGTAACCTAGCTGTGGCTCTGCTTTCCTATCTGCCAGACCTGCCTACAACGTCCTTCTCCTGGCAAAGCTGGCTGACGGCTTACATCAGTTCTTACCCAGGTGCAGATTTCCCCACAAACCCTCTCCCATCCAACTCCCCCAGGCCTTGGGCAGAGCCTGCTGGCACTCTGAGGGTTTTGCTGACAGCAGAGAAGAGAGGGGTGCCTTCCCTCTAACAGGGGGCTGTGATGTGCCAGCAGACTGCCAGTGCCTGCAGCCCCATGAGGCAGGGGGAAGCATTGGAGGATGCCGCTAATCAGAAGGATGGGCTGGTGTGCAGCCAGCAGAAGACATGCTAGTGGAGAAGGTCCTGCTGTACTTCTCCCCTGCCTGGAGCTAAAGCTCTGAGACTGACAGCTACTAAGGGCAGGGCATGGACCTTCTCCTGCCCTTCGCAGAGCACTGAGCACCTCAGAGGCATAAAGAGCATCACGCAAAGAGCATCGCTCCCTACTGTCTTGGGGCAGGATTCCCAGCTGTTCAGTCTCAAAGGGTAGCAAGTAGCAATATTCTTGAATCCTTCTGGAGATGAACCATAACCTAGTTTATTTATCACAAAACTATCATGAAACCCTTATCATTTTTCAAATATGAAACCCAGATCTACAGACAAGGCCACCAGCCAAGGCAGGGAAGAACGTGCCATCCTGCCACTGGGTCAGTGTGACCCAAACAGTATTGAATCCTGATAAGGTGCCCTCGTGACACAGCTGGGGCAAGGTGGCTGAGAAGGGGCTCACATGGCATCTTGGGAAAGGGGGAGGGCAGATAGAATGGATCACACCATGGTTCTTCCATTGCACCCAAAAATCAGATGGAAAATAAGCTCATTTCACACTGCCTTTCTCAGACACCAAAACAGAGGAGAAGAGAGGGAGGAAAGCCTCCCCTTCCTCCCCCACTGGAGGCCCCCATGCAGGGGGGTCTTCTGAGAGTCACATCAAAGGCAAGATCTTCTGTTTGCCAGCTATGAGCAGGCTGCAGAGCTCTGCAGTGCTCCAGAGAGAAATCCACAGCACAGGGCCAATCTTTAAACAAATACCTTTGCCAGCTCTGCCCCTTCCCTTGCCCCAAGCAGGGAACTTGCATCAAGACATCTCAAGCCCAGGATGTCCCCTGGGGGCAGCCACCAGGGAGAGAGTTTCCCTGCCTGCGCTGGGGCAGTCGGGCTGTAAGGCTGGGATGGATCGCTCTCATGTCTGAGCAAAGCAACCAACACAGATCCATGCTGGTGTTAACCCTCTGCCACGCATAACTGGCACACTTCCAAGATACACTAGGAGCTGGGGAAAAAAGATGAACCCTGGGTGCCCATAGTCTTTCCACTGGCTGTGGATCCAAAGTTTCTCCCCCTGTTGAGGACCTACATTTAGGGCACACGCTTCCAGACACACACTTCCAGACACTGAACTTTGAACCACACACAGCTCTGCTCTGCCTATGTTTCCAGGCCTCCTGTACTCCTACAGCCTTTGTCAGCATCCTCCAGGTCACCATTAGTCCAGGAGTCTCATCAATGAGTCATTGCTCCCCATCCCTTTCCTGGGTGAGGAAGATCACCTTCCTGCTGCTCTAGGTGACATCTGCTTGCAGCTCCCAGCCCCCCGCTCCCTATCTCCTGATCAGAGAGCTGAAGAGCTGGAGAAGGATCCTGAGGCTAACTAAGTCCCTGGGCTGCACCAATAACCCAGCTATGGCAATGTCTCTTCCCTCATTCCCTCCAGCACCCGCTTCTCTGTCCCTGAGAAAGTGATACCTTCACATGTGCTGCCATCTCTGGACACGGCGTAGCCAGCATCACAAGCCATGCAGGAGTAGGAGCCCTCGGTGTTGAGGCAGAGTCCAGAGGGACAGGCAGCCTGTGCAGCGCACTCATCGACGTCTGCATAAGCACACAAGGGAGAGCGAGATGAGTGGAAAGGATGCAGAGGAACCATGACCAGGGAACCAGCCAACTCGGTGCCCAGGACTTGGGCAGAACCAAGTGCTCAGGAAGAGCCCAGGGAAACCTCTGGACTGGGTGTATGACACATCAGAGGCTCTGGACTCACAGCTACCCGGTACCTTGGCAGCTCTTCCCATCAGGTGCCAACTCATAGCCCTGGTAGCAGGAACAGCGGAAGGAGCCGTCCAGGTTGACACAACGCCCGTGAGCACAGGTCCCCTCCACAAGACACTCGTCCACATCTGTGTGACACAGCAGAGAACAATATGGAATGGGAGGGTGCTCAGGGCCACCAAAAATTGCGAGGGCACTGTGCCCTGGCCACGCAGGCTGGCTGCCCGCATGAGGAGCGTGCTGCCCATGCCCCTGCTCCTTTTGAGGCTTAAAGGGAACACTGCCACAGGGGGCCGTGGGTGCTCCCAGAGACAGCCCACGTTCCTCACCAACACATCTCCCATTCCTGGGCTGGTAGCCATCCCCGCAGCTGACACACTTGTAGGAGCCTAGCGTATTGACACACTTCCCGCGGGGGCAAGGGCTGGGATCCACACACTCGTTGATATCTGCCAAGAAACACACTCCTTTCAGGCTTCCAAAGGCAAACAGTGCAGCTTTCTCCAGGATGTCCCCTCCAGCTGGATTCTGAGAGCCCCCGCTCCGGGGGATAGTGATGCCCAAGAGGAGGTGAAACGAGTTTTCCAGGGCTTGGGCAACACTTTGTATAGTCCCATTTATCACTCAAGATCCCACACCCACACCTGAGGGCTGACATAATCCAGAAGCAAAACCTACTGCCGCAGGATGTTGCCAAGGCCAGGAATGTGCACGGGCAGAGGAAGGGATCAGAGAACATCTGTGCAGGGCTGTTTCATCAGGGACTTTCATAAGTATGATTAGGATGCAGCCTCCAGCTCAGGAAGTCCTTAAGGCAAGTGCTTTCTGGAGGCCATGCGGGGGGAGCAGCATTCTGTGCATGCCCTGCTTCCCGTACTGCCTCCTAAAATAGTCTCCGACTCTGTTGGAGATGAGCTACTGAGAAAGGGGGATCTTTTATCAGGCACATCGTATGTTCGCAAGGTCGAATGCTCTGAAGGGCCCCGGCCATGCCGTGTGAGCGGGATGCTGTGGGGACAGGTGGCCTGAGTTTCTGCAGCCTGCTCTCCCTGCAGTCCACTCGCCAGCACGAGGGTCTGGTGACAGAGTCAAGCTGGCATGAAAACGCACGGGCAACTCCTCCCAGAATAGGAAGCCAGCATGGGCTGGTCGTAGGGGATCTCCCTGGAGAGGTGGGAGAAGATCTCGGGAGAACTCCCCTCTCCCAGCCCAGGAAAGCCTATCCCTCCTGCAGCAGAGGACAGGCAGCCCTCAGGGGGACAAACAGGGCAGACAAACATGGGGGGTGTCTCCTTTCTGGAGGATACACAGAGTGGTGAGAAAAGGAGGCGTTCAGCCCTGCACAGGGTGGGTTGGAGGGCCAGGGGAACAGGGAGCTTCACCTTCACACTGTCCTCTGGGGCCCATGACAAAGCCCTCCTTGCACTCGCAGCGGTAGGAGCCAGGAGTGTTGATGCATCGCTGTCCCCGGCAGGTAGAGGGCTGCTCACATTCATCTCGATCTGGCAACAAACAGGGAGATAGTCCTGGAGTCTTTCCCGCTCCAGTGTGGGGAAGGTTGGGTGCAGGAGAGGAGGTGCTCCACTTGCATCAGGCTCTGCCCAGGAGACCCATGCCAGGGCTCTCCTCCATCCTCCCATCTGTCCTTTGCACCCCCTTTGCCATGGAGCAGGGATCAGGGCTAGCATCACAGGCTCCTGCCCAGATCTCCATGGGCAAGGTCCTGTCCCTGAGCGAGCAGGAAAGGGTGATCCCCATGGATCAGGCTGTCCATGGGCAGGCCTGCAGGGAGGGAGGGGGGCCGTGTGTGCATGTGTGTGCAGGTGTGTATGCGCTGTGTGCACGAGTGTGTGCACATGCATGAGAGAGCACGAGGGTGGGAGACGGAGGAGACCCTGGGGAGGTGACAGCCCTGTGCCAGGCGGACACTACTTACCCTGACAGCTCTGCTTGCCCTCCGAGACAGCCAGGGTGTACCCAGAGTAGCAGAGGCACAAATAGGAGCCCACGCTGTTGATGCAGCGACCTTTTCCCGCGCAAGGATCTTTCAGGCACTCGTCTTCATCTGTGCCCAGGCAAGGAATGAAGAGAGGCAGTCACCACAGCAGCCCCCTGCCAGCCCCATGGTATGGCGGGTGGGCAAAGGCTCAGCAGAGCTGCCAGAAAACCTTCCCCCCAGGAGCCTGAAAGACCAAATGTTCCATTGAGTCCCGGCAGGCAGAGGAGGTGCCAACCTACCGGTGCAGTGGAGGCGGCTGGGGTCCAACGTGTAGCCGGGGTGGCACAAGCAGCTGTATCCCTCTGGAGTAAGCACGCAAGCACCGGCTCCACAGGAGAGGGGTGAAGAGGCACAGCTGCTGACCCCTGCGAGGAGAGAGCATGGGGTTGGGGGCAGCAGCCCAGGGTCTGCCTTGTGTCCCCACCACCATGCTAGGGAGGTTGCTTTTTCCCTTGGGAGAGAGATGGAGCAGGCTCAGCTTGCTCCTCTCTGTCTCTTTAGGCAGCCGGTGCCCGTAGGGCTGCAGGGAGGACACTGCAGACCCTGCCGCCTCCTCTGCCCTGAGCCCAGCTGGGACC